GCAGCAGAGTATTCAGCTTTTCCAGGTTTCTTCACTCTAACATGCAATCCATCACTAATCTGTCGCACTCTCACCATATCAGCCTCCATCCCAGCCCCCACACCACACTGGCATGACTTGAAACATCTGCCTAACGTCACTGAAGCCATGCACACGCACACACACACACATACACATACACACAGGTACACACACATAATCAGGCACATGTGAAGCTGACGTATAGATATTAACCAGTACAGTACACACAGATGTTCACCACTTGTACAGTGTGCATGTGTGTGCATGTGTGTGTGTGTCTCTTAGTCTGTTTATACCTGTAATAAAGGGTCTGCTGTAACTCTAGAAATATCCATCATGGCCATTGTCATCAATAACCTTGTGCGTACCCACCCACTCTAAGGAATAGATAAACACATGAACACATTTACTCCTGTGTTTATTGTTCTTTCCTTAAAAAACCTGAAATTTCTCCCAAAACACTTCACACTGAAACTAACCCCTTTGTCAAAAGAAATAACCTATAATTAGCTTTAGGGAGAACCAACAAAACCGTCCTCACTTTGGAAGCTTGCCCTCATCCTCATGGAGCCTTGCTTTAGTTCTGGCAGAGCACTGAAGTCTGCTTGCATCAGCTGATCAGCTGTTTCATTCACAGTTTCATCTCAGCTCATTGATACATCAGTTGATCGGCAAGCAGCTGACAAACAGCATCCAATCATATTCGTAGATGTGCACACGGCGGTGTTTACAGCATGACAGTCCTCTGTTGATATCCTCATAGTCAGTGGCACTTGCTGCTAAAGCTCCATCCTCAGCTGAAGCGTTCTGCTTAAATGCAGAAGCTCTTGATACAGTTAACTTCCAGAAAAAAGAAAATCTGATGTTGATGTTACAACCTTCTCAGTCATGAGTCTCCCCTCAAAGGTCAGAGCAACACCCACCAAACCTTGGTCTCTACCTCTATTTTTGTGGTCCTCACAGAGATGATACAAGGACCTCACGAAAAGAGAGAGAGGGATAGACTGATGGAGGACTATGGGGGGAAGGGGGGGGGGGTAAATTTTCAAGATCTAATAAAAAGCAGACCTCACCCAATCCCCCTTTCTTCTGAAGGGAAACTAAATTCCCATGTGCATACAGTTTACCCCCTCCTCTCTCTCTTTTGCTTTCTCACTTGTTCTCTCTCCCTCTACCTCTTCCGCACACACACTCAGATGGAAAAAGTGTGCATGAGAGACATCAGACGCACAAACAAAGGCTGATTGGACAGTTAGCAGTGATGATGATATATTGAAAACTATAATCAAGATGTAGGCTTGCACCAGCAAGGCCGCCAGCCACCTTTTTTTGTTAGATGAGGCTGATGAGACCCATATGTCTTATCTCTCTTTTTCATTCAACAGCACATGTGCCAGCTCATATACACACACATACCAGACACACAGGTTACGAAACTCCCCTGGTTCCGCATACTCACATCTGAGGCCACCTATGGCTTTAAAAGGATCGGCTTGGACCGCAAAGAAATGAAAACTTGTTATTTTCATTTCTGTTGTTCACTAATATACTCATGTGAGAACTCATAAAACAATGACAGTGGCGAGCATGTGTCTCACTATACAGTTAAGTTACTCCTTTCCATGTTCTGTAACAAGACAAATCCTTTAAAACATGGGCCTTGGGAACGTAATTACACCCAGTGGGGCCTCCAAGAGGTCTAATTTTAATTTATTTGGGTCTGTGACATGAGAAAAAAAAAAGTTAAAAGCTTTCAGGTAACTCACTGGAATTGTCAAAAGGTATCTGTCTGCAGCTGTCAGGCAGTCCAGGCCAGGGGCAGTAGTAGACAGCTCCAGCCTCCACAATGCCGGGCTGGGAGGTGTTCGCCTTAGGAGCCCCCACCAACACATTGATCCTGGTGGGGGGAAAAAGAAAAACCAAGGTACATACATGCAGGACATGCAGGATACATGCATATACAATATGCAAGCATATGTGCACTATATGACTCATTCATAAAGTTTCCTTTCTGCTTCATCATTGTTCTGTGTCCTACAGCAGTAATCGTATACAGCACAGCTTCATTTATTTGATTTAGGTAAATGAAATTTTATTGAGTTATTATAATTGGCATGCTGTTCTATGCTACAGAGTCTATTGTAAAGCATTCTGGGTAAATTAAAATACATAAACAGATACATTGGGATTATTTCAGGACCCTGATGAGACAGCTTCAGTCCTGATGTTGCCACTCACGTGTTGCTGTCGGTGGTTGCTTGGTAGAAGTCCACAGAGTAACCGAAATAACTTCCATCGGGTCCCTTGTAAACCGAAGGATGCTCTGCGTAAAGGTTAAAACTCCAAACTCCAGTCAGCGCCGGCCAGAGCACCGACAGCACCCCGAGAATAAACATCCCAGCGGAGGAAACGCAGTCCCGTACACGCTCCATCCAAAAAGAACAGCCAGTTGCGCACTAGTCCCCAAAATGAGAGGGAACAAGGAAAGAGAGGGAGAGAGACAGCGAGAGAGAGAGAGAGGGAGGGATAGTTTCCTCCGTGCAGGTGAGGTAGCTTTGTCCCGGGTAAGTCCGCCAACTGTATCACTGGATCACTGCGCTCTGCTGTGCTCCCTGCCTCCTGACACCCTGAAACCACAAGGTCTGTCCAGACAGAGCCTCAGCTACAAGACTACACAGCCGCGCCCCCGCCCTGTGCACAAAACTTTACCCCCCCCCCAACACACACACACACACACACACACACACACATTACAAGGCACAGACCACATCTGAGCGCGCTGAGGGGCACTGCGCGTCACCGCTCCTTTTATGGCACAGACAAATTTTCTGTGGCGAATTGGAGGCTTCGTCCAGGAACAATAAATTATATTAAAGTGAGATTTATAACCACCTTCTCAAACCTGTCCAGTAATGTAGCACGCGCACGCGCAGAGACTCCGCGCGCGCACGCAGACATACAAAGATTAGCAGTCTGTGCATTAAACCACTTTATACTTCTTTACCGGCCAGTTGGTTAAAATAGGGCTGCGTTTCCTTCCGTTGAGAAGAATTACTTGTAATTATGTCAGTAATTATTATGTCGGTTTACAGCAGAAGTCTCCTGAGCTGCATGTGCAAGTTTGGACAGTTTGGCTCGCGCTCACTGTTTCACTCAACACCAGGCGATTTCCCTCCTAAACCTCCGAGGTAACACGCTTCGCTCTTGCTGAAAATAATATCCTGTGATGAGAAACAGTTTTGAAGAGGTGACACGCCAGGACCAGGCTGGTTTCTGTGCATCCAGCTCTGCACATTTATGAACGTTTTCCGTATCCAAAACTCTTTCTCTGTGCACGTGTGGGGGGAGAAAGAGAGGAAGAGAGATCACCATTGCACACACTTCCAGCCAAACTAATCTGCAGTTTATCAGCTTGTGGAGTTTGTTTTAATTAAAATAAGCTTTATAGGCACATCGGTGGTGAATTAAACTCCACAGCCAGCCTCACAGTGTAGTAAAACTGCAGTGGAGCAGCACTACAGTCGGTGTGGCACTGGAGTGTGTTTTCTGTCAGAGGAGAGTTGATAAGAACCAGGTGAGAAGGTGAGGTAAAGAGTGGATGAGAAGAATCCCAACCTTGACCTGCCAGATGGAGAAGTTTTCTCTCCTTCACATCCTTCACCTGCCCTGTTCCCCTCCTTCAACACATTTCCATCCATCCACCCATCCTGCAACTCTGCCCCCTTCCTTTTTTGTTTCATTTCATGAGTGCAGACTTGTGCAGTGTTGTGTCAGAGAGAGATGAGAGTAAAGGACAGGGTCTGTTCTTTCTCAGCTATTGCTATGTAAATCTAAGACGAAGAGAGGAAAAAAAAAAAAACCTACAAAACTTGAAGCACGTACAGTAGGAGAGAGATGTGTCCTGTTTCTTTCTTCTCACACAAGAAAGATGGTGGTGATGATGGAGTGAGGGGGCAGCAGCCAGACGTATTACTGTTCTTTTGCCCCATTTGGCTTTAGTGCGGCTGCGTTATGATGTTGTCCGCCAGGTAAACTTTGCGTTTTAATGCAGCTCAGTTTCAGTGTCTGCTCACTTCCATCTGTGATCATTTTCAATCCAATAAAATTCTCACAGATATTCAATTTCCAGGAATACACACATTTACTCACATACTGTTCAGGTTACGTCCTGTCAGTCCGCCAATGTGTTCTGATCACAGATTTACTGCAGGTCGGTCAGGATTGATTACCGCACACACACAGTAGTACTTTGTATTTTACACACTGTGCTCACGTTCCCCTTCCCTTTCCTTTCCTTTTACAAACTCATAATGTGATCATTAAGCAGGCTTTTATGTCAGATTAGGCCCACATCCTTTCTCCATTAGACAAATCCATTAGACACACACCCGGCCAGTATTACAACACTCCTATGCACAGATACAGATTGGAACAAGCATTATCTGTACACACACACACACACACATAAACACAAAATTAAGAGCTGTCTTGTCCTAAGCCAGGACTAAATACTTAAATAGCATAAAGTGCTACTCCTCTAACTCTTAACATTTGTCTTGAGTTAAAGACTCAATAACACACAACATGGTGGTGACGTGCCAAACATGCCACAGTTTGGGATGCCTTATAAAAAGCCAGAGTTTCATTTGTCTTCTTCAGGGGAATTTTGATGATGAGCTAAGAAACGACAAGTTTTTTGTCCTAGGGGAAATATTTTGTTTACAGAGAGGTAATTAAGTCACCATCAGTGTCTTGGAGATTTAGTGAATAACTGATTTAGAGTCTCTCGGGTCATGAAACATACGTTTGGTGTGTGATTTAGAGAAGTGCAGACAGACCTTGGACATCCTGAAATCTGAGGCTGCAATGATGTCAGGGTCAGGACATGATATTTATTAGAAAAAGACACACAGAGGAGGACGTCTATGATTTCAAAGCAACTAAACCACACCATGTTTGAACAAAAAAAAAGTGTTTATTCCAGAACCTTTGAGTGCGATAATAAATACATGAGCACTTGGCCAACATACTAGTGTGGCGCATGAAGCAACCACACAGAGCACCTAAACCAGCTTCATCTTGGTGAAAACACTGAAGAAACCTCCTGCTCATATCTCCAGTTCTCTGCGTCTAGGTTGGTCCCTTTACGCTGTAAACGCTTATCAGTAGGCGTGACTGTGTGTGTGTGTGTGTGTGTGTGTGTGTGTGTGTGTGTGTGTTCTCATATGTGGAAGGCTTTGGTAGGTTTTCCCTCAAACAGTCCTATAGCTGGATTAACAGTAGTGCTTCACAGTCACAGACTGGCTGTGCATGTGGTTCAGCATGTGATTTGGTGACACACTACAGTCGTTGAACCAAACCAGTCTGCTCTCTAAACAGTGTCTAGCTGTATACTGCTAAACTGTAGCAGAGGTGTCGGCACAGAGCAGAGCTGTAAAAATAAACAGTCATTCAGTTTTTTTTTGTTTTTTTTTTAAATAATCACGTCATAAACATCCTGCGTGTCATATTACAAGCCATGGTGAACAGACAACAGCATGAACTGTAAAGGTGAATTTACATTTGTGTGGAATGTAAGTGAGAATGCAAAAATGGATCTCAGGCATGTAATGTTAAGTCCATCAAAGTGTTTGTCTCAGTCCCATGTTTGTGTGCATTCGTGTTTTTCTCATTTGTCTGCGTTGTATGTGTGTACGTGTCTCAGTCTTTGTGACATGCTGACCTGTCGGGGTCAGCGTGAAGAGGGGCAGCAGGAGAGGGGTGTGTGCGGAGCAGTAGTGGCCTGTCCACATACACAGACGCACACCAGACTGTGTCAGTGCTAGTTCAGTGAGGGGGAGCGGTCGGTCGTCCACAGCAGCTCGATGTAGGGCCACTTGGTCTGTAGGCAGCGCTTGACTGGAGTGTCGTCTGTCCGAACCATGGGGTCCTCAAAACCTAGCACCAAAGCTGTTCCTTCCACATACTCAACCTAAAAAACAAACACACACACACACACACACACACGAAAAAAAGTAGGTCAATACATAGTTAAAACAGAGTTAACCCAAAAATTCCAACACTTTGCTCAGGTTTGACAGGCTTCAACTCCATCAATCTCTTTTCAGACTCTTCCTCTGAAAGTGTCAGGGGTGAAATACAGAGGGACGGATGCACATATGCAACCGAGGCTCACAAACACACACACACACACACACACACACACACACACACACACACACACACACACACACACACACACACATACACATATACCAGCTGCAGGAGACTGCTGTCAGCAGGTCTGCTATTCCCATTTGGAGTTATGGGAATGGAATTGCCATCACAATCTTGTAGGCGCCTTGCTGCCATACGCATGTACGTGTGTGTGTGTGTGTGTGTGTGTGTGAGTGTAGGCGTAGGCATGTGCTTTTGTGTGGGCAAACATGTGGTGCCATTCCTATATTTTCAGGTAGCAGAATGGAAAAAAAGCACTTTTACAGACTAGACAAAGTTGACAGATGATGAAAGTGATATTCCTGAGTACCAGGTTTGTGAGCCGCCACCAGCTACATCCACTGACAATCATCCATCAAACTAAGCCTGCTTAATAGACCTGTGTTTGACCATTTATCACCGCTAGGCTGCTGACAGTGGCCTCTGTGTTGGAGAAACAGGAGGCTAAGCTAGGGTTTTTGGATGGATGGACAGGCTATTAGCCTCGCAATAGCTACTGTTTATTCTGGAGTGGTTGACTGCCTCCAACTGTGTGTGTGTGTGTGTGTGTGTATGTGTGTGTGAATGATGACAGGAAAAGAGGAGAAGTAATTGTAAGAGAGTAAGGGAATATGAAAAGGAACCACTACCATCAGTTGCTATTAAGAACCTGAATATAAAAGAGTGTCTTACCCTCTCGTTGTGGTTGGACTGTTTAAGTCCATTGTAGTGGTAGACGGGAAATGAGTCTGGGATTCCTGAATCCTGAAACACAGACGGGGAGCAGAGTGAAAAACATGCAATGTTGTCAGAGAGTCTTGCGGAAAACTGTTCCCACAGAGACGGGGGTAAAGACCCACAGAGGCAGAACATTTTTGAACTGAAAAGTCAAACCGACACATCTCTGCCTGCAACCAAGGCTTAATATTATATCCCACGTGTTAAATTTAAATGTGTGTGTGTATTGGTGTATGGAAGCAAAGCTCAACTCCAATTACCACAAACCACCCGACACTACAAAAATGTCTAAACAATGACTTTGAGCCAAAACACTCCCCATGACTTTGGCTTGAAGGTGCAGAATGCTAATAGGGTGCGTTCTCTGAGAGCGTGTCCATCTTCTCGTGTTTATGTGCCTATATATGAAACTCTAACCCTCACCCCAATCCCACGTGTGTCTGAGTGTGTGTCCAGTTGGCTAATGGTAGAATAATTTCTTTGCGGCTTGAGGCCATTCCTCTGGTGAGTCCCTAATGCCCTGATCACTTTAACACAGTTCCCCTCTATCTCTCCCTCTCTGTCTTCCTCACTCGCTCTGCCTCATAAAGGCGTCTTACAGCCCTTTCTAAACTTCTCAGCAAGTAACATCATATGAGGTTGAACACACGCATTGATTTCACATGAGACACCGCAGGAATGTATTTGGCATAAAAACCTTTGATTTGCTAAAACAGCACTCCACATATGCTTTGGAAATAGACATTAGTGTCACCCATATGTGTGAATACATGGCTCTTTTTCCACATGTTTTAACTGTGATGTGGATTGTATGACTGGTGGAAGGTATTTGTCATTTGTGAAGTGGAAGTACGTCTCTACAGACACAAACATACCTGATCAGGGAAGAACTCCAACAGGAACGGGCCCAGAAGAATTATGCCCAAACTCTCTGGATCCAGCTTGCTCTTCACCAGACTGACACTGAGAAGACACAGAAGATAGAAACAGAGATAGATAGGAAAGGAAGGAAATTAAAAGTTAGCAGAGGAAAACGGATGCAGAAACCCAGAGAGAGAACTGACATAAGGAACATGCACTTGAAAAAAACAGGGGACACAAAACAGCAGCCTGTGATGTCCCATGTATGAAAACTGAGACAAATTTACGATCCCCTTATCAGAGTGTGAAGTAATGATGCTGGTTTTGGTGAGTGTGTGCATATTTTCATGAATACCACGGTGCAACTAAATATACCTCTGTCCAGACATTCCTACTTGTTAGATCAGTGTTATTATTATTCCACCGTGATATAAAAAAATCTGGTCAGATTGCCCTTTTAAGGGAGTGAGGAGAGAAGCAGGGGTTATGCCCAGACACAGAACGAAGGCAATGATTGCATACTCAACTATTGATTTTTACAAGTGGTACGTGCAGCAGATGGTATACAGAGTAGACAATGACCCTGCTGAAGTGTCACTGAGAAACCCCACAAGAGTCACATGCGTTGTTATTTAACCACTTTCTGCTCTGTATATAGGGGAGTAAGAAAATGAGAAAATCTCCACAGGGGATCAATAATATCTCATTATTGTGAACAAGTGATTGTGTGTTGAAGGGGATCTTGAGTTGGCTGTTTGTGGTCGGTTTGTTCTGTATCCACTGCATGACTGCATATGACTTCATTTAAAAATGGACTGGACATGAGATGATGGTGCATACAAATGCCTACATTGAGCATGGCACAGTGTTTGGGTTATAATGCAGTCATATGATGTGTGTCTGGACTGGTGTATATCTGTCATAAATCTGTTCTAAATGTATTGTCTATTTTAACAATTATATGCAGACAAAAAATATAATTAGCTGGCTCTGAATTGAGTAAAAAACAATTTACAATTTTTTTAAGTTATAATATGTAATATATATATATATATATATATAGAGCTGTGTTCTTACATTTTCTTAACTTTTTCCAGAAATTCTCAAACCTAGGGAAATACATGATTTTAATCACTGTAACAGTCTTCTTGAGTTGGTCACCTGTCAGTGACATCATATCCCTTATGCCATGCGTCGGCGTTGTGGTTGCCTGCCAGAAGCTCACAATTGACTTTCATCCGGTTTTAAGCCACATTACACCTTGGTCATTTTTAACTATATATTTTAACCAGATGAAGGATTTTGGTCATTAGACATTTGGATCTTAAGTTATGAGAGAAAAAAGCCGAGCAAATGTTAGGCAGCTCAGCTCCCAACCCTTCCCTGATGTCCTGGGTCCACCGTACAGCATCAGCAAAACTGAATAACAAGCAATTCAAACCGGGAGAAGCTTATGGCAATGGTGGTGAAGACCACCAACCACTCCCACGATCCCATGACACATCACAACGTCACCCAGCTGTTTTTTTTTTATTTTTTTTTTTTATTGTTTTGCTTGAAAGACCCCATAGCCGCAGAAATTATATACTGAGCGTTTAATATTTTTCATTAATATCAAGAATAAGAAAACACCTTTATATTCTTCACAGTGTAACAAAATTATATTTTTTAAATGCTATTATACTGGCTGTTTCAATTCCATATTAGGATACAGAGCTGATTCAATGGTTGACAAAAATGTTCTAAAACTGATTGAAAATGCAGGAAAAACTTAAGGGCATTTGCTTTTTGGTGGATTTATACTTTTTTATCATAAAATTTCAAAGTTTCATTACATTATAAAAAATCACAATATACAAGAATTCCTGTTTTTGAGAATGGATAATTCTGCCAGAAACATTACACAACAAATGATGAAGAGACTATAATTCCTTGAAGCTGTATCCTGACTTTTGCTGAGAACAGCCAGTGTCTACAAAATTGGTTTACCACAAATGGTAGCAGCTTACTGACATAGGTCATACGATATGTAGAAATACTAAGTCACAGGCAACTTGCAAACAGTTTGCACTCGTCTTCCATGAGTGATGAAAGTCTGTACTTTAGTACTTCCAGATACTCATATTAAATCATTTTTTTCTCAAGCACAAGATGCTATTTTTTTTACATGGAGGTATCCCTGCAATAACTCTCTAGTTGTTTGGTAAGGAATGAGACTTTTTGCACTGGGAGTCTCCCCACAGTTTACTGTGTTGTGTTGTGATGTATCAGCCATCTGGGGGTCTGCAGAGCAGATCAGTGGTCCAGTGACTTGGCCGGGACCACAGCTGCAGCGTTAGGACTTACTGTTCCTCAGATGAGAACGTGCCTCTGTTTGAAGCGGCACTTTAAAGCGTTTCCTCCCTCTCTCAATCTTTCTTCCTGCCGTTAATGATCTCCCTTCTAAGCCTCTGTTTCTGACTTTCTTTATTTCGTTCTTTCTTTCTCCCTGAGCTTTTATAGTGAGCTCTCACTGGTCTAACTTTATAGGAGCCTGGTAGTGAAACATGAGCATACGGCGGCTGACCTGGCCTGGCCGTGACTTAAGAGTTAGAACTTTAGAAGCTCTACAGGTGCCACACACACACACACACACACACACACACACACAAAGCCTTGAACATGCAAGCACTTACTACTCAGGCTCTGAGACAAGGTCAAGGGCTTTCATCACGTCCTCTAGCAGAGACTCTGGGATGAAGCCATTATCTGCAGAGAAAGAGAGAGAGAAAGAGAGAGAGGGAGACAGAGAGAGAGAGAGAGAGAGAGAGAGAGAGAGAGAGAGAGAGAGAAAGAGAGGGAGGGAGAGAGGGAGACAGAGAGAGAGAGAGAGAGAGAGAGAGAGAGAGAGAGAGAGAGAGAGAGAGAGAGGGGGGGAGAGAGAGGGAGAGAGAGAGAGAGAGAGAGAGAGAGAGAGAGAGAGAGAGAGACAGAGAGTGACATAAAGAGGGGGTGATGCACTGGCTGACCCTGGACAAAACATAAAATACAGGCTTCATATGGCACAAGCACTATTTACATCATGGGCCCTGGGGAATTAACTCATCTGAAAAAACAAAAACAAAACATAAAACAGCCACAACAAAATCATACACACACATGCACACACCTTGTCCTTTCTCTCTGACCTACATTCCACTGCCATGATGATGATTGCTTTACCTGAGAGGAGAAGCTTTAAACACTAACATGTGTTCTTGGCCAAAAGACTGTTTGTGTGTGTCCAGGCACTTACAACATGTCATTGTGTGTGGCCTGTTGTTTAGATAAATACATAAACCCCGAGTGTGCTATGAAGAAGATTAACTGACAAGTGCTCTGCTTGTCCACTCTCAAGCAACTCAATCTTGCTTTTTCACTGCCTAATGTTATTCTGTCTCCGTGACAACTGAAAGTTTGACAACCGGCAGAGAGGGTGCACACACTCTACACAGGGACAATGACAAACTCCAAATATTAAAGAACATGCTGAGACAGTGGGTTTCCGAATATATGTCTAGTGAGTCACTGTAGTGTGTGTGAATGCATCTGGCGCCTTTTTTCCACAACACAAGGAGCTGTGCTGACTCCACATGTGACACACACAGATTTATGAGCCTTTTTGCACAGCACTCAACTGTGCTGCTGGCGATGGCGTTTGTGTATACACTACGGTTTGTGAATTGTGTCTTAGCACAAAAGGTGTGTGAGAAAAAACTATATGGTTTGGGCAGACGATAGCAGATGTGGATCTGAGAACATGCAAAGTGGTATTCTGTGCAACAGGAGGAGACAGATGAAGAACAAGTGGAAAGGAAAACCCCCCCCCCAAAAAAACGATAGACAGTTATGTTTACATATTCGTTGTCGAAGTGCATGGCGCCGACGCTATAACATTGAACCACCACATACAAAAAGATGGCTACAAATCAGCATGTTGTTCCTACACGCCAGATACTGAATAATTTTTGTTATGAGTAAGAGTATAGCACACTTCATTTCACAATAAAAACACATAAACATGAACATATGCGTTACAAGGGCTGAAAGCTCTTGCAACATGGATAACTCCAAGTGTGTGCTGTTAAAATGCTCATGTCTTGAGTGTGACTCCCAACATCTCAGCATCTCTCCGTCCATGTCTCTTGTCTCCACGGCAGACAAAAAACAATACACAACAGATGTTAGGACTAAATGTTTCATTTCAATGCTCTTTCTTGTCCCTAAGTGCTCATGAACGCACAATTACCCCGCACTGTAATCTTGAGGCTACATAAATGAACGCTGCAGACATCCGACTTTCATTTCTTGTGACATGACAAACTATCCACCCTAAATCTTTCTACTGTCATCGTGTGGCTTTCTGTGTCCTTCCCCTCGCCTTTTACCCCAGTCACCTGGAAGTGACAAGAAAGGAGGTTTAGGAAAGCGAGGAAGAGAGGGAAAGAGCAGGATGGTTGACTCAGCTGTTGGAGGAGCTGATCTCACCAACCTAAACAACAACAGTGGAGAGGAGAGAAACAGACCCTGTGGAAGAGAATAACAGAGAAGAAAGAGAAAGGAGCAGGGCCACAGTGGAGGATATGAATGAATCTGCTCAAACAGGAAGGAGCAAAGAGACACATGACAGTTAAAGTGAAAGTTTGGATTAATTAAAGTATTTTAATATAGTTGGTGTACTTGTTAGAAAATAAAACATAATGCCCTAAAAACAAGTGAGCAGGGGGTGAAGGGCAGGAGATATGAATCATTAGCAACATAATGATCATGTGCACAATACATATGATACAAACACGTTCATTACCTTCAGGATCAAATGACTGGAAGACCCTCCTTGCCTGTTCTGATGGAGACTCTGGACCTACCAGGGACATCTCCTACAGAAAGACAGCCAGGAAGGAGAAACAGAAAGATGGGAAGACATAAAAGAGAGATAATGGAGGGTGAGAAAGAGAAGATTAAAAAGGTGAGAGATTGTGCATGACAGCATGAAGAGTTCTGACCTAAAAGTGACCACGTAGAGATTTCTGAACTAAGTGAGGAGACAGAGAGCGATAGAGAGGGGAGGAGATCACATTTTGGGATATTGTGGCTTCATCAGTGCTGAAACATTAGAACAGTTCAGTGCAGCGTGAAGTGATCAGACAATCATCAAGATGTACTCAGGACTAACAGATTTTGATTGTTCTTGTCAAGGCTTTAGCGGGACTAATGTATAACAAACTATACTCAAGACATGCAGCCAACATACAGCACCACCTATTGTATTGTGTGTGTGTGTGTGTGTCTGTGGGTAATCTAAGGAGCCAGTGCAATCACCAGCGTCCATTCGGTTATTAACTGATCTGCTGATAAAGTTAGACGGCTTGTTTTCACTCCAAACACTCAATCAGGAAATCGAGTCTTACAAATACAGCCTGTGATTTATGACAAGATCTACAGTGTTTGTTTGTTGGTGAAACTCAGAGAGAGTAGTGTTGGCAAGGAAAGAGGTAGTGTGTATGTGCATCAAGAAGGTGATGCCTCTTGTGACTGGCCTAAATAAACCAAGGGCCTTAGCGTGCTTCAGACAAAGTGCTCATCAGATCATTTAACTGCATATAAAACCCCTTCCAATCACAAGATTTTCATTTTGACAATTTTTAGGAATATGACAATCATGCCAACTTCATGCAGTGACAGGACAGGTGCGCATATATGAGAAAGTAAGCAGGGTTTGAACTTCTCTCTCTCTCTTTCAAGCCCTCTTAGTTAATTCTTTAGTGTAAGGGATTCATAGGATTCACTGTGTAGAAACAACAAATACAAAAAGACACCAAGATTTTGGAATGGGAAAATGGAAGCAGAGTGATGCAGCCAGGGGGAGGGAGGGTTAAAAATGTTTTGCCTTCAGATGAACCACTGAACAACCAAGTCTGTTTAAAGCACAGTGAAGCCTTAACAGTCTAAAGTCAGATGCCCTTGACAGATCTCATGGGATAGGAACTTCTTCTCATGCCCTCTCTCATCTTACATTTCTAAGCATTGTTCAACATTTTTAAACTTATTGTGTGTAAATGTAAAAGCTTCCTAACCATTAGTTCCTGATGAATAAATTTGCAAGCAAACAATAATAATAAGTGCAAGGGTGAGTGTCATAGTTCACTGAAAATATCCTGAATGAATAATTAGAGAAGTGTAAGTAAAATAAAAAAAAAGCTTAAAGGAGATAGAGGGGATATTTTACCAAGAGAGAATAAAATTCAATACTTCATAAGATGGCTTTTCAGCCTTAACTGTCTCTCTCTCTCTCACGCACGCACGCACGCACGCACGCACGCACGCACACACACACACACACACAAAGTGTGCAGGCGAGAGTCAGAGGGTTCTCACTGTTCCTCCATATGAGTGAGGGAGGGATTGTATTTATGACAACGAAGCGCTGGACAAACACAGCATGTTTTTGGAGAGCAAATGAACCCTGCTCATCTCCTTTAGCTGGCCTTTATTAAAGCTTGAGCCTCAGATCCATGCAGGCTGCTTGGGTTTCACGGTCCACTTATTACTGTACTCAGGGCTTACTCAGGGAGAGAGGGGTTCAGGGGGACAGATCGAGAAGAGATGACTCCCAGCTGCCGGCTCTTCAGATGCAAAAAGAAACAGTTACAGACTAGCGAACACGCGCTCACACACTGTTCTGTCACAGAGTATATAGCAGAGCCCTGATGTGTTAACATTACAGGCTCCATAAATCTGACAGTAGATTTGTCATTGGCTAGATATGTCTGTGTTTCACTTTTAGGGGTAGACAAGGGTCATTTTGCCAATCTCATCGGAATAAAGTGCTGAAAAAGTTCCTTAGCGGTTGTCTCTATCTGTGCAGACTAATTCATTAGATGTAGGATTAACAGTGATGTATGTATCTGAAAACATGAACTGTTTTGATAAACTGCATCTTTGCCTTTTACCAGAACCCGCAAATAAGTCTCCTCTGAAAGTGATGAAATGTCCGATGAGCATCATGAACAAAAGCGTAGTTGACACAGTTTATTATCTTTCAGACCAGGATGGACACATTTGGTGTAAATCACCTGGTAGTACTATAGTTGCAGGATGTCAACACTTGACAAACACTAGTATGTGGACATCCCCAGACAAACAAAACATACTTTTATGGCTAGTCTATACACGCCAATATGGCTAATGAGCACAAGGGAAAGAATAGGGAAGACAATGACTCACATGAACATAGGATCATGCACATGCACACAAACGTACATAATGGCACCAGAAATAAGGTGATTGTGAGTGTGTGCTTGTGATGACAGGTCTGCTTGGTTGTCTTTGATCTCTGTTTTATTAGAGGCCTGAGGAAGATGCTGCTGAGTTGGAAAACATGTCATGGAGCTAACACGCTCCACAGGGAAGGTGTGTGTAAGTGTATGTCTCAGCGTTTCTTTGCACTCATGCCTACTGTGTTACAGTATGTGTGTGAGAGTGTGTGTGAGTGTGTGTCTCCAGAAAGGAGAGAGAATATCGGTGCAATAATTAGACAGGTCCACTGCTGAAGTGTGTCCTGGAGTACTGCATTCTATTCTATTTGGCAGTGGGCAAACATTCATACTCATGCAGAGACACGGTACAATGACACACACGCACACAACACACACACACACAAACACACACAAACACACACACACACACACACACACACACACAGCTTTGTGAGTGTGCCTTATGAAATGAAGGAGCACATTCCAATCCCCACAGTCTGACTTTTTTTTTTTTTTTTTTTTTGCACAAACCCTGGACCTCCTTAACAGAGAAACAACAAGCTACCCTACAAAGGAACAAAGCAAGAACAACACCCGCACACCACTCCGAGGACTTAAATACACAAAGTAATGCAGAACAGTTGCTCTGAGCAAAGCCAGAATACATTTATTGAAATTGAACATGTCAAATGAACAAAGGGCTTTCCTGTAAGCAAATGGGAGAGTGTGTATGTGTCTTCTCAGTTAGGTCAGGACTACTGGACATTTCCAGGCTTGTCCCATAACACAAGACACATACGGCATTATAAAGTATATGTGTGATCCTATTTTTCTAATCAACAAACCAGACTTCCTGCATCACACCTTCAGAGATAAAGTACCAAACTTAGCTGACATCCAACTAACTTCTTTACTTTATATGAGTATCAACTACTGACCACTGCCTAAACCTTCACCTCTAGCCATTAGCACTTCTGTTGTTCCGTCCTTACTAGACTTAAGTGGCTCTCTTAGGTTGACAATCCCCTGTAGGCCCTTTTCCTCTCTTGCTCTTTCTCTTGCCCAATTTTACCCCTTTTTACCTACTTTTTCCTGCTTTAAGTAGGTACTCCAGTTTTAGAGTATTTCCTCCCCTCCCACCCTTGACTTTTTCTTCCATTCTTCCTTCTCCCTTTCGTCCTTTATCTCCACATGCTACCTCAGGAAAGACAGGGAAGCATAGTAGACTAGAGTTACTCTTTCTTTCCTTTTAGTCTACCCAAAGAGCTATTGTGTGTGCTGAGAGGCTCTGAGTGGCCATAGAGTGCATCTGAAGGGATCGGTTTCGAGACAACAAAGCAGAGGTCTCGGACAGTGTCTCCTGCCTTGTTCCTAGTTTGTATCGACAGCTTCACTACATGACAGGAGGAGGAGGAAGGTGAAGAGACAGTCAGTGTCTGATTGTTTGTTATGTAGAGTGTATGTGTGCTTGTATATGTTTGTTTTGTTCACCTCAACTGGCCTTTGTCGGAGTACAGGAAGCAATGGAACTCCTCTCCCTCGCTACATAAGGACTGCCTGCAGTATCAACTGTATGCTAACGTCTGTGAGTCTGTGTTTTAGGTGTGACAGACAGGACAAAGCAGTGATTTATGGAGCTGTCTTGGATGAGAAAGACTGTGTCTCATCAGAAAAGTGAGGAGCCACCAGAGGATACTTACACAGCGTAATGATGGCTCCTATAACAGAGACCAACACACGGGGGAAAAGGAAGAACAGTGCAGCACACACACACTGACACAGAGAGCCTTTCATCCTACTACAATGGCTTTTGGTCTGACATGTCACAGATTATTAATGACCGTTAATGCACACTGCTTTGTTATTTTGTGTTTGTGTGTGGCCCGCACCCTCTGATCATACGAAGATCAGAGAGTAATCCTGTTTAACAGAAAGCACACCTTTCTTATGACCTATTATATTCTTTTCTTTTTTTAATATTCATTCTTTGTATTGTTCAAACTACCCTCAGGGGGTGGGTGTGGGGGGCACAATTCAATATTATTGTTTATCAACTCAGCATTGTCATCTTATGTTGATATGATTATATCATGGTATCATTTTCAATTTCATTCATTTTCATTTAGTATCATGATATATAATTTGTGAACTGTTGGAGGCTCATTAATAGCCTTGAGGACACATACTCAAGGTTCACTTAATAGCTTTGACACCTGAGCAAGTTCAATTGACTGAAGAAGGCTGTGGGATGCAGTTAAAAGCTATAATGATTTCAGCCATACAGTAAATGTAATGTCAATAAAGCCTCATTGAATTAAACTAACCTACATTAACTGTGTCTGTATACTTGTGCTCCAAGCTTCTGCTCTTTACCAGTCCTTAAAGGATATTCTGTGAGTGCAGACAGAAGCTGGAGTCTTAAGGGACACAGAGCGCCACAGCGGCTGCTCTCCTTCCTAGTAAATCACTGACCCAGAACACAGCTACTGTACACATACACACACAAAAACACACACGTAACTCCCTGGAGAAGCAGAGATACAGCCTGTGAACCTCATCACTAAGCAGGAGGAGAGTAAAGAGTGATGAGAAATGTCACAAGAGGATCACCCCCACCCGCTTTCCTGAGTGACCACTACCCCACTCTTTAAAGTGCATCCTTCCTTTCTACTTCCCTTCTTCCTTTTTCCTTCCCATGAGGGACCAATAATCTGAAGAGGTTGGCTGAGGTGCGCTGGGGAATCCTTTTCTTGGGCAACCAACCCACAGTATACTGGAGTGGATAGTTACTTCAAAGACAAGCAGGGGGGAAAGGAAGGAAGAAAGAATCCTTTTCTAGACAAAATGCTTGATATGTCTCATCCATCACCTGTCCCTTTTTGCCTTCACTCTCCCTGTCTCTGTCTTCCTTTCTTTCCTTCCTCTGGCGTCTCAGAAACTCTTGTCCAAAAACAGATCCCATTACATGCCATTATACACACTCAGGATCTTTCTCGTATGCACATACACATTAATACAACAGAGGGCAGAGAGTGTGGGGGGTGTTGTGGGTAGGGATTGGAGATGGTGGAATGGCCTTTGTGTAGGTAGATTAGATAAAAAAAAAACACTAATGCTATTAAGCTGATGGTCTGAAAGCCACAGTCACAGACTGACAGGGACTCGGGGGAATACACACCCGTCTCCAAAGGCAGACAGAAGGTGCCGCTGACACATCAGAGGCAGGGATCAGGTTTTCTGCTTTTGTGGAGCTGATGGTTCTATATCGAAGCTAAAAGCTACATAACCAGGTAGCATGTATTTTTGTATCATGAAACCTGGGAAATCTCAGAGTGCTTCAAATTAGCTCTAAACATAGATTCCCTTTCAAAGAGGACAGGGTCACACTGAGCGAGGTCTACCAACAGAGTGCCCTTGCTCCCATGTCTTCCCCCCTGAGCTTGGTCTCAAAGTTGTAGAGCCCGCATAGTGTAGTGTCAGCCGTGTGCGTCAGTATATATGCATGCGTGTGTGTTCACAGTCTCCAACGGGACAAATGGATCCAGATGGGAACTCTGGAGTCACATTCCATACAGGAAGCCATCCACCTGAAGTTACACACACATACACACACATAACACTAATGCTAATCAGGATTAGGTTCCCTGCGCTCTGGAATTTGTGTGTAAGAGTCAGTCTGTGTGTGCGTGTGTATATGTGAACATGTCACTAGTGCCGGGGGAGTTGTAGCAATCGGTAAGTCATCAGTGCATGCATGACGACTTTGGGTCATCACTGAGCCAACATATGATCCACTCGCCTAGCAGGCTTCAGCTTGTAACTTAGCTTTTAATCAATGGTATATTAAGGGTGTGGCCTTATGATGGAGATGACTGCTTGGGATTTTTCTGCCTCTCTGGTGCCATTTTCACAACAGCAGGGAGAATCAATTTGCTACGACCAAACCTGCCAGCTTTAATACACAAGCTACAGCAATGTATTACATTACATGTTCACCAATAGAGATGATAAACATGTTTGTTTGAGTGCAATGAGGGTAAGCGGGCGGACACACGCACACACACGCACGCGCGCACGCACGCACACACACACACACACACACACAAAAGCGGTGATCTGATGATTCATACTTCTACCCAAGTTTCTTTAAAAGTTACAACAGCAGGGTTGACCTCAATTACAGTGAGCATTCTGGACCTTGTTGCACAGGCCTGTGCATGTATGTATGTGCAGACGTGTATATCTGAGTTGCTGCTGGTGCAGGAGCACGATGTTATGACCCTTTTCCAAGAATTTCCAAGAGCTTTCACCACATGAACCTGGTTCCAGTTTTTTTTCCTGCACTGCAACACCTTTCACCCAAAAACTACCTACACTGATGTGCTTTCTTTTGAAAATACAAACCTCCGGAGTACAACAACTTGTAAAGACCCGTCATTTGATTGCACTCAAAACTTATCACTACAATATAACATCAGCTCTCTTTTTTTTCATTTCAGTTATTCAAATTTTTTTCTGGAGGTTCTGAGTTCCTGGGACTATTTTGTACAACAAAACCATGTTCTTATGAACAAGTGCCAGAACAGAAATATGTGTGATCCATTTTGTTGGAATAAACCCGACAGTGAAGGTAGACAGAAGTATACTGTAAATGGAGTCCAAATTCAGCAGTTTACGTCATGGCCGTATATTATGAACAACACATTGTTTAGCAGATCACAGATGGTTGAGAAACTAAAATCGTGTGCTCGTGTGCATGTGAGAGAGAGCGCGCATTAGGATGACTGTGTGCGAGTGTGTGGAAACAGAGCTTTTTTTTTCTTCTTAATGCTGGATAGGTGAAAAGCCAAGAAACAGCACAGGCCATATATGACTATCTCCTGCGCTCAATTTTCCCTCCCCTCCCTTTCTGCCTCTTTTTTCCCCCACATTGATATCTGATCTGCACTATATTAAATCTGTTAAGCACATTCCATATTTTGGTTTTTCTAACCTGCTGAGGAGACTGGCTTATATTACACTCTGTGTGTCTGTGTGTGAAATATGTATTTACTTGCTTATGGATGAATGTATTGAACTTGCCTTGGTGAAAAACACAGAGAGGTGAGTTTCGCTGCCAAGGATCCAAATAGGGAACTTTGGAGACTTGAGGAATGCCCCGACCTGAAACACACACACACACACAGAAAAGGAATGCACAACAAATGTGTGTGTAATTTTCATCATGAATCACAGACTGCTCAACGTGTAACAAGTCTTTTTTCATGACACACATTAATATTTTAACAGACATAACATGTCAGAGTATAAGAACAGCATGTTACTTTTCTGGACCCTCAACAAATAGTACTCTGTAATGAAATGTATATGATCAAGGTGAACTTAATCAATTTCCATTTGGACCGTCTCTTATAAGACACATGCTCTTCTGAACAATGGCATTATATCCAGCTTCAACTTCCTTTCCATACAACAATAAACCAAATAGCACAATGTTATATGAACAGCATACATTCTGACACACTGCAGACCTCTCCTTACTTGATATGAGTTGGTCTCTTAAATCACTCTTAACAGCTCTCTAGTTACTTTGGCAACTATCTACTTGCTATTAACATATTATAGCTGCCTACATTGTCTCTGGAGAGTTCATGCCTCAACTCCAGCATTTTTGGGCTTGCTTATGTTGGCAATGATAAATAAACAGCAATGATAAATAAACAGCCAAGATTCCTGTTTTGCAAGATGACGAAAATGTGTCACGTCACATGTGTTTTCAAATTGCTTTTGTGGTCTATTTTTGTGTGTTTCAGTACATGTGTGCCAGAAAATAAAAGTGTAGAATGAGTGGGGAGTTTACAGCAAGTCTGTTGGGACTATTCCGTACAAACACATATTTTCACATGGGAGCTCTCACTGTGGTTTGTGCTTCACTTATTGGAAAAGTCTCACTTCTCAGAGTCACACAACACTGAGCATTTGTGTGTTTATTTGTTTTTGTAGTGCTCTCTTAGCTTATACAATTGGTGTCCATCTCAATTCATAGCGAATCTTCATCAAAAAATAAAAATCCACAAATCCTCTGCAGATTCACCATGAGAAAGCACTGAATGGTTTGTTGTTTTTATTGCATTATGTTCTAAGAGCCTGTATGTGTCTGTACCTTGCAATAGCGTAGGGATTCCATAAGCGTCAGGAAGCCAACTGATGCTTGTTTATGTATGCCATGTAGTTCTATAAGAGAAGAAAGAGGAAGAAAGAAAAAAAGACGAACACAATGTGAATTTGTTAAATTATGTCAAACTGGTATTAATTTGTGCTTTTTATGCAATGCTGTGGGTTGTGTGTGGGAATTATTGCCGTCTGATGGATATGGGTTAAATCTGGAGCCATAAAACTGAGCTCTGTGAGTGTGATGTGTGTGCCTCTTGTGGGAATATGACATTTCTGTGTGCAAGCAGTAACTACATGGAAGTCTTACTCATGCCAGAGCATTCCCTGTCTCCATCCCAGACATTAGACACAGCGTGGCCAGTTACAAGGAGGTTAACCAGGCTCTGACTGCAAAAGATAAGAAAGGAGACATCAAGAAAATATAAGAAATCATATGCCCTTTACCACGCAAAAAAAGGAGCTAGCATAATGTTTAACTTGCTGTAACAGTGTAACTGATGTGGACAATAGGTAAGGAGAGCTGTTCCTATACCTGCCATGACCATGCACAGGGTCTATGAGAGGCTCCATCGTGTCCTGGATCTCATTTCGTATATTTTCTATGCCCTGCACAGAAAGAACCAGAGGAGGGTTTTTGTGTATTTGAACATTGATGCGACGGTTGGGAAAAATGACTTAACATGCTAAAACACACAGATTAAATACCCATTAATAAAAAGAGGTTTTGTGTTTGAGACTTTTTAAAAAAAAGTTTTTATGTAACTATCACTTCTTTCAAATGACAGAGAACATCACCAATATCATAATTTCCATTCAGTATCTAATATTTCTATCCCTTTCTCCATCCAGCCATTTATTTAATTTACCTTGGTTAGGATGACTGAGTAGAGGAAAAGCAAGACTCCACAGCACCCCCTCCAGGTGTGGTAGAGAGACAGCACCTCCTCTCTGAGATCAGACACTGACATTACAGTCCGCTTGCTGCAAAAGAACAAACACCAAGATGACTTATGAACCACTCAAAAGACATAAGATTTGTTGGGTGTTCTGAGGTCATTAAATGATACTGATGTATTAACTGCTTTCATTATGCCAGGATGGTAAAGATAACTTTCATGACAGGGCACAAATCTACTAAATGCAGCAGAGGACAAATAAAAAAAATCTAATCTTGTCTGTTTGGAGCCACTTTTCTCTTTTGCTCCACCTTGGAAATCTTGCTTGTGGGGTTGTCTGTCTTAGATAGCATGCACTTCCTCACTGTGAGTCAGCATTGCTTTTTGCTGACTGTGGTCTCAGCTGCCAGTGCACTTACAATGTGATGAAATTTCAATATTCCTCTGGCAAGTGCAGCCTTGCATTCATTCAGTTTGTGTGTGAGAAAAGGTAGTGAGAGGTAGTTTTTTTTTTTTTATTAGGCAATCAGTGAAAGTGCTGATTCAGCAACTTGTGAGCAGAGTGAAATAGCTAATTCAATGTGAAAGCCAAGTCTAAGAGACTAGATTAATCAAATACTCTGCTGATACTATCTTCTGAGAAACAGGTAGTTCTCTATTCTATCGCTGCATATTGGCAATTGTAAATCCAGGATTTGTGAGGTCTTAATCCCCACAGAAAACCACTGTATTATTTATTTTCAACATCATCTGCGTGTAGGAAGAAACAGTAATGAGCATAAAGATGGAAGGTGTTAGCTGTGGTGAGAATGTTAAGTGTCACTTACTGCAGAACACTGTGAAATCGCTCAAAGCCAAGGTCCTCGGCAGCCAAAGCAGCTAGGCACAAGAAAACACACATACACTGTGGTATCAGAGCATGACACAGCAAAACCCCACACTGTCAAATAGTTTGTCATTAAAAGTTACTATTCTTGTGAGGGCGATACTCTGGTGAATAAGTGACCACTCATGTTTGTGTACTGTCATCGTGAATGTGCATGTCGCATGTGAATGTGACGTAAGACTCACTGGGCTGCTGCTCCTGTGGTGGCTGGCTGCTCTCTGGCATGTCCTGTGTTTGTGACTGTGACTGTGTGTTAGTATGTGTGCTAGTGTGTGGGCTTTGTCCCTTTGCCCAGGTCACCAGGCAGAACCCAGTGGAGGGGCTGGAACAGGCAGACTCCAGGATTTCACTCAACGTGGAACACAGGGCTGTTTTTTGCTCCTCTTCTAACAGACACAAACATAAAACATGCATGATTTAATTGGTCAGATATATAAAACAATAGCCGAAAATAATGGTCTGGATGTTTCTGTGGATAATCTACCTGACATCTGTCTCCAGTTGGAACTTTCTCTATTAAAGAGAATGTTCTTTAAGAGAAAAGCCTGCAAAGAAACACAAACTCAATATATAATATGCTACACTTGCTAAGTATTGTTTGTCCATAGTCTGCCCTCACAGACTTAACTAAACCATACCTGGACAGGTGCAATGACAGCACATGGCCCGCCTTCAAACTGCTCTAGTGCTGTGTGCTCATTCTCACTGAAAACAAATCCTGTGATGAAGACAAAAAAAATCTCATGTGTTAACAGAGACATCTTAAATTTTTTCACAGTAATATCAAATAAGACATTTGTTTTAGACATGTTCACCTGCACACATTTGAGAACCAAAAGAGCATGCATGGTCATATTTAAAGCTACAACAATGAATCTATTAATAGATTAGATGACTGAGAGAGAAACTTAATTGGCATCTATTTTGATCATCAAATAATAGTTTTTAATAAGTTATATTTTTTAGAAAACAAAAAAAAAGAGTTTGTATATTTTCTATGATAGTAAACTGGACATCTTTGGGATTTGGTTTTAAAAACCAAATGACAAAACCAGGCATTAGACAATGCCACTTTAGACAATGAGAAATTGGGCTTTGGGCATTTTACACCATTTCCTGACATTTTTTAGATGAAACGATTACTTGATTAATCGAGAAAATAATTATCAGATTAATCGATATTAAAAAATAATTGTTAATTGCAGTCTTAGTCATATTGAAGGCCGGGAATGACTCAGTTATTCAGGCTAAACTCTGTGGAAGGGCTAGCCACCCATGTGCAGAAACAGGAATGATTATCTGGAGTATACATAACAGCAACTTACATGACAGCATGGTATTTTAGTGCTTATCTGGCTTTCAATTAGAGAGGAGGATCTAACAACTAAGAATACCTGTGGTACTGTTTTGGACAGAATTAAAGCTTGGATACACTTAGCATCCCTGTTTCTGAGTGAATATGCAATATGTAACACGAAAGCACTTCCATTCATATCATCAGACTGAGACAAAGTATCATACCTTGGGTCCATCTACGGAAGATGGAGGCAGACACTCCTCCATTGGAGGGTCTCCCCCAAACCAAATCCACCACCTCTTTATTTAACTCCGACATGACAACTTTCACTGCTGGTAAATCCAAAGGCACTCCCTCTTCAGTCCAACAGCCAAGTGGGGACCACAGAGGTCTGTTGAGGCCAACTCGCAAGTTCTTCTCGAGGTCGACAGTCCACTTCTCTCGGCAGGTCGAGCCTGTGGCATTGGCCACAAGCTACCTGTGTAGCTATCCACAGTCTGACTCGAGAGGCTGGCAGCAAACTGGCGGGTAGGAATGACATCAACGTAGCCACAGCAGCTTGAAAAGTAATGGGACCACAACATACGTTAAAATTATGCTCTAATGCTAATAGCAAGCACATTTTTTAAACACACACTTAGCTGCACTTCTAAGACAAGCGTCGCGCGATTTCAGACTATATAGACAATATAAAGCTATATACTCGCTAGGTTTACCAATAAGCTACAAAGCTAACATTGGCGTTAACGTCATATAATTGATTAAAACGAAGTACCGACAGCAAAATAACGATTAGCTAATTCTGTGGCAGCGTTGTTACTTCTTATATTGTTGTGGAATTGTTGTGTCGGTGATATTTTTAAGAGCTGAGTTGGCTTAGCAATGTCAGCAGTTAGCATTAGCATTACTACTAGCAGCTAATCTTTCATTGCTTTGTCATTCAGTGACTTCTCAGACGATACCGATAACGACAGTTGTTGAATGAATTCATACTGTTTGTTATTAGTTAGATGACATGCAATCATTATTACCTTGATTCACAGTCGAGTAATGGGTTTCCGTGTTGATTATATATTTTTGGTAGCAATTGCACTATCACCAACGTCTCTGTCATTCGTTTATTTACAACAGAATTGTAAAAAAACTGTGCGTACATTTGACGTGACTGCCAATTGGTTGAACTGCAGAAAGTTACAAATGCGTCAAGGGGTACAGCCTCAGCGCGTTATCTCATTGGTCCACAGGCTTGTCAATCATATTGAGCACCCGCCCACATGCAGAACCGAATATTTCATTTAAAGCCCGCCTTAATTAATCAGCAAATCATAGAGAGAACAATTGATTTATGGATGTTTAAGAGTTACTTAAGTCTTAGAGTAAACGCTTAAAACGCAATAGAGAATATATTTGGCCGTGAAAAGCGATCATTTTTCTGTGCCTCAGTGTCAAAACGTTTATTTCTGAACCGCAGGAATTATGTCCACTACCTCTTTCCATACCAGCCACCCAGTCACTGCTGAGCGCCTGCGCATTGCGTACGTTCAGATACTACACTTGCTTTACACGCGTGTTTTCGATTCACACTTTGGGAAAAGTGTGTTTTAAGTAGCAGTAGTATAGTTTGTAGAACTATAAGACGTGTTTTTATCAGAATGGGAGGGCAGGCTAAGGGCAAAAAGAAAAATAAACCGAAGAGGAAAGAGAACCGTCCAAACAGGGGTAAGTTGTTCAGTGATTTCATCATTTTGCTAGTTATTTACAGGGCAAAACGTTATCAAGCTCTGCGACAGCTAGTAGTTGATATTAACCCGTTGTGTTTTGATTGACCTTAGGAAACCAAATTAGACAAAAAATGATGTCCACTCTCCTCTTACCTCATTGCAACAGATGCAGGGTTTGCTGTATTGTCACCTCAGGAAAGGGTGAAACTAAGAATGCACGAAAAAGCCAAGAAGAAGACAGCTGAGAAGTACTCTGTGCAACAGCTACTAGAAAAGGTCACACTGACAGATTCAGTTGATATCTAACACGAAGACATGACTCAGATATGTTGTGACACTGAAATGTATTTTTTGATTCTGATCATCTGCTGTTTGTTATGTCATGTGGTGGTCTATTGTACAGACAGAGGAATGCATGGACAGTTTTGACTTTGAGATGGCTGGCCTTTTCTGTCAACGAGCCCTGGATGTGGAGTCCACCAACCTGCATGCTCTGGATATGCTAGGACACATCAGCTCTGAACTAGGAGACACACAGAAAGCTAAGGGAATATCCTTTAAGTATGTTTTTTTTCTTCGTTATTGTATGTGTGTCCGTAATTCAGTCACTTCACTGAAGTACTGCTATGATGTTTCCGTGCTGTTTTAATGCAGTGATGGTTATAGCTTCCTTGACCTAGTCTCTAAGTTTTTCTGCGTGCAGTGGAGCTGAGCCCAGATGTAGGCCACAGTAAGTACATGTACCTGGGGCAGATCCACGCAGGTCAGGAGGCTGTGGAGTACTACAGTAGAGGAATACAGGTCCTACTGTCTGCATTGGAAAAACAAACACAGACTACAGTGAGTACCCACCCATACACACTCACACTCCCATTATGGTTTACTGAGTAACAGATGTGCCACATTAATCAGTGAGAAATGCTATGGTACTCAATAATTATCTTCACAAGAGGGTGCTGTTGGACAGTATATGAATATCTATCTATCTATCTATCTGAATGAATGACATGGTAATTGACATACTCAGTGTGTTGTGGTTATGGCTCTTGACTCATAACTTTATTACTGAAATATTTTGAAAATCACATAAATTACAAGTAATTAAAAAACACATTGGTACCTTGAAGTCACTACAGAAATGATGGATGATGAAATAAGTGACAAAAGCTGTGATTACAAACTGTATATTATGCTGAGAATTTACAGTTTCTTGTGGAGATAATTTACAGCATTGGTCTGACATGAAAGTGTGATGTTTTGCGAAGCTTTGTCATAGCTTTCCTTTTTATTTTGGCTACCTTTTTTGTTTTCGCCCTTCAACAGAGACATTTTCTCAATGAATTATTCAAGTAAGCATCGAGAGAATATTTTGGCATGCACCGGACATAATGATGTGCCATGTAATAAAACTGTGATACTAAAGAGAAAACAAACAAACAGGAAAAAGCATATTTCTATGGCTAACATAAAGTAAACAGTAAGGCAAAGGAGAAAATGTATTAGGATATGTTGTAATAATGGCACAAAGGTGTACTGATGAAAATAATATGCTATAAATATAATAAATTCCATTATAACATGTTTATCATTGGTATCCATTTAAATAACTTTGATTACAGTATTGATAAGAAATAGAATGACAGTCTTTGACATGTCAGCCTTTTTATTGTTTTCGTAACAAATGCATAGAAGAAAGAAAATAATTGCGCTATTCTAAATAATTAAAATCTTCACGGGCCTTTTACACAGCAGACATTTTGTCATATTAGGCAAAGCACAGGTGTTAGTAATAACTTTCAAGTGTTCCACAAAGCCCTGACAGTGTGACTGAGCCAGCTGGCACAATACCAGGACACTGAAACTGAAGCAGCCATCATCCATTTCATTATTTAGATGTGCGCTTTTTCTACTGTGACAAGCCAAAATGTTTTTTTGTTGAAAAGGCCTGTTGAGATTGAGTTTCTCTGGGAGTAAAGGGAACTTATGCAGCTATTTTCGTTACTGGATGACTTGATTGTTCATAGAAAAAAAAAATAAAAAATCAGCATCTTCATTATCTTTTAATTTATTATGCTTCATCAAACTTTTGAAAACTTTCAAGTCATCTGCCCTCTGCTCTTTAAACAGGCTCAGGCCGGAGCTTCCGCCCAACCAGATGAGGACCCTGAGCTACCCACAGCGAAAGATGTTAGTGTGGCCTACTGCTCCATTGCTGAGATTTACCTAACAGACCTCTGGTACTGGTGCAAACAGAGTCACTCTCTTGACACATACAACCTCCCTTTAAGGTTACTGCTTGGTAATGGGTTGAGATTTGTCTCTCTGTGTGTATGTGCGCCTGTAGCATGGAGGAAGGAGCTGCAGACAAGTGCAGAGAGTTCATTGAGAGAGCATTACAGTATCACCATGACAACCCCGAGGCTCTACAGCTCATGGCCAGTTACCTGTTCAGTACAGAGAGAAACCAGGTCGGTACACACACACACACACACACACACACACTAAGAATGAGTTATCACCACATTAAAGCGGGAATCTTCTGAGTTAATTATTCTGAGCAAATTGAATTGTATGCCATTAATCAGCAGATGGACACTTACATTAACACACACATACACAGACAGGTCATGCCGATAGGAATGTTAATTACTAGGCAGATCACTGAGGTCATACAGTCATCTGATAAGGAGAAAGAGATGAGGAAGCAGCCTATTCAATTCATTTTGTAAAGTTGCACAGTATGCAGCATATTTTAATAATAATACTTTTTCTCATTGTTTAACATGCTGCTGCTTTACCAGCTGTTATTAAAGGCAGATTAATTCAAGGTAAAACCTTTCTGAGAGAAACCTTTCTGCCTTTTCTTTCTAAGAGAACTTGAAAGTGCTCTGAACTTACTTTTGTCAATTTTTCAGGTCACCATAGTTTCTGTGAGATGAATGAAACACATGATTTTCTCCCTTTTTTTTTCTTTTTTTTTTTTTTACAGTTCTCATATGTTGTTGAATAAGATGTAGACATCACTGCTGTTTAAAAACATAATAACCACCTCCCTGAGGTTTCAACAGTTGAGGAGGTAAAGATATAGTGGTAACAGTTCACAGTAATATCTGGAATGAACCAGTGCATTGTTTGTGGAAGAGCACTTTTCCTGTTAGCGTTCTTTATGTATTTATTCAATTCTGAGGCCACCACTGGTAAAACACACTCCATCTTCTTTGTGTTTGAATGGTGTCAGCAGCAGAAACCCACGACTATCTGTGAGAACTATTCTTTATGCTCTTACATCTCCAAACATAAATACTAGAGATACTGTAGAAAGTGGATCTGTAATACTAGCTGTAAGCTGCAGGGGTCAGGCTGGCTCCAGCATCCCACATCCTACAGCCAGTCTCTTTTTTTAAATACTCTGGTAATAATTTTAAAAAAAAAGAACAAAATTGATATTAGATGAATCCAAAGGTCATTGATATCCATAAAGCATTCAGAATCCAGTTTGTAGACATAAAACTCTTTGTGTCACTTTACTCTTACAGCTGTTGATTTGTGTTTGTTTGTTTGTTTTATGTATTTGTGAGTATAGTTGTACATGCATACATACGTGCCCGTGAATTTAAATGTTTATGCCTTTTGCCATCTTCAGGAGGGCAGAGAATACCTGTTGAAGAGCGTCGGATTGTGGCTTCCTGCCCAGAAACAGAGTGCAGCTTCTTCTAGCACAGAGGAAGGTGTGCAGGTGAGTTGGAGCTGTGCTTGGTATTTTTTTTTGACAGCAACCAGCCCTCATAAGATCCCAGTTTATTTATAAAGCACTTTCAACTAACAGGATTGTCACAGTGTGCTTTGCAGTGCGCACAAACATAAGGACACCAGTAGAGATGAAAAGTCTGAGATAATGAAACGAGGGATAATAAAAAAATAAAAGATGGAACAAATACTTCACAAACGTGTGTGTGTGTGTGTGTGTGTGTGTGTGTGAGAAAGCGGATATGAAAGCACAAGGCAACACCAGAAAAAGGTCTAAAGGATAAAGTAAGCAAATTACTACAGGGAATTCGACAAAAAGAGGGAAATGGCTCTTCTGTGATGAGATGTGTACAGAATTGCTCCTAATAAACAGTACCTGAATTTACAATCTTAACTGATTAAATGTGATATATGCAGGGTTTGCATGATGATTCGATACAAAAATCCCAGTGGCAGTATGTGGCTGTTATGATGTTTATCTACCAGAGAAGGTTAATCTGAACTCAGCCTGTCGACACATTTGCTGTGTTTAACAGCCACGTAGCTGCAGAGCGTTTTTGTTTTTTTTTGTGTTTTTTTTTACCTTGGAACTATATTGTATTTTTATCAGACAAAGGAAAGAATCACAGTGGATGCTTGTGTAAACACTCACTACATTG